ACGTGAAGGCCATAACAGGGTTTTAGTAGACAATTTCAGGATTAGCTAAAATTGGTTTTGGTAACCCTGTGATTAATAGCCCATTCTTGGTTTATGCATTGAGGTTTTCTAGGCTGAATTTGATAATCATATTCAAAGACAGGAAATAAGTTAAAACATATTTTTCTGTTTCGAAATCAGTCAAGCACACAATTAATGCTAAAGCTTCCCGAAAAYGACTCGTCCCAAGGTGCATCCACAGGGTGACCAAAATGACTTTTAGCTAACTTCAAGAGGGACCTGTGGGTTACATAAACCAACCAGGAAAATAAAAAAAACTCACGTTATGTTAATTGCAGATGAAAGACTCATATTTGATGCTGGATGAATATGTAAGTATATCAACTGCTTAAATAATAGTTTAAAACTTAATTTTTTTCTGATATAAAAAATCTTTAAAAAAATCTTTATTATTGCTACAAAATTTGCTACAATAGACCAAATTCAAAACTCGCACCGATGTGAGGCTTAAGTTGTAAACAAAGGAATCTGGCGTGATTCKTGAYTTTTAAATCACGCCAGATTACTTTGAGTCACGCCAGATCCCTTTGTTCACAACKTAAKCCTCACATCGGTGCGAGTTTTGAATTTGGTCTATAGATAGTTTGCACCATCACACGACGGCGGCCATGTTWGATGGYAGGAATAATGCAATCCTTTTACATGAGGAAGAATTCAATTCCCGAGAGTAAGGCCTGTCCACACGTGCCCGGAAATTTTTGTATCCGCAAATTATTTTTTGCAGATACGAAAATGTTCGCGTCCACACGCAGCGTATTCGAATCGTTTTCGAATCGTTTTCGCTGTCCACACGTATCCGGGAATTTCTTGATCCGCCCTGATGCACGCTAGTGCCTAGTCACTTTGACGGATAGTTTTTCTTATTGAGCATGCGCAAAATCGTGTTTACGTGAGCGTATTCGAAAATTTGCGGCTACGACCGTCCACACGTATCCGTATTCGGAAATTTCCACTCTGGAAACCGTTTTCGAAAATTTCCGGATACGTGAGGAGGCAACCCGTATCCTCAAAAGAAAATTTGCGGATACAAAAATTTCCGAATACGTGTGGACGGGGCCTAAATCAGTAAAGGGATCGTATATATTGTTATGCCATGTAACATGGCCTTCATAATCTCTATTACTGATTTTAATAGCCATCATCTTGGTTGAATTTAATAAAAGATTRTTCAGTATAGTCTCTTTTGTTAYATCAACCAACATGGCCGCCATGTCTTTTTCATTCTCTTGGGAATWGTTGARAACYAGCACTAAGCGGAGCTCTACTGACCCTCGCACTGTAGGATGTTGGATTGCAATGAGTATATTGTTCTCCTCAAACCTGTTGAAACAGTAAAAGAGTAGCAAAACTTTCAGCTGGAATGGTTCGTCGGTCGAAAACACTAGTTGCTATTTCCCATCAGTTTATACAGAGTATTCTTTCATTATACGTTTGGCTTTGAGTTCAATATTGCTAACAGACTGAAGCTCATTCATCGTTCCCAATTTTGATTTTCAGATGCGTTTTCTGGATTGCAGCAAGGGCAACAAAGACCCTTCTCGCTCTATCCTGGATGTCGGTGTTCAGAATGCACTGTTGTTCAGCGGGTTTGACGAGGAAATGTTTTTCAAAAGGGGAGGGAAATATACTTGGAGCAAAGCAGACCTAAAACTTGACTGGTGAACATTCGGTGCATTACTATTATGCAAATACTTTAAAAAAGGTTGGCGAAGGTTTTGTTGCATATTGCACGTTGTATGTTTACATTGTATGTTTCACTACATGRGCTATGTGAATTTGATAAGCGAAAGGTCACCACGACATGGAGTTTTCCTTAATCGTCTGCACATTTTTCTGATCTATTTCCTTTGTGCTGACATTAGTTCCATACGAACATAATGCATTCTAAGCTAAGTAAATAGCAAGCAAAATAACATGCAACATGCAACGAAACCTTCAGATACTTTTTTTTGAAATAGATGTATATGTCTTGGGCTTGTTAGAACTTATTATAAGCACCCCTATATTGACGTATAATTTTTTTATGGACAATTACCACAAACATTACACAAACMTATCAGTTTATCCACCAACACAATYTTTTATTTCTAGTTAATTATTTACGTAGTTAACTTTATATAACAAACGTTAGTTTGCAAACGCTTAATGGTTAGAGTGCCTGGCAGTATACCGGATCGGACGTCAGGCGCTTTCTATCCTAATCTGAGATGAATTATGACAAGGAGGATCTAGGAATCGGAGAAAGGGAAAAGAGGAAGGGAACCTCGTTAAGCCTCATAGAGACTTCTATGACTAACCGAAATAAAAGGGAGGGCCGCGACCGCTTGGGCTCACCCATAAATCCGCCATGTTTTCTAATTTCTAGTTCCTTCTATTATATTTGGAAAGGCAGGAGCCTCCCAAGCCTACTTGGATCTTGAACTGTTTCATTTCAGATGCCAACTCGACCTAGTTTTTTTTTCTTGGACATCGGAATGGCTAGTAGGATTAAGCAAATATCAAGATTATATTATTGTGAGGAGTCGTTAACATGACACMAGAAGGAGTCTTGTTCCGGTACGAGTCCATCCCCGGTTGCCATAAATTTCTTTGTAATTGTTTTCACGGTACCAGAACGAAGTTTCGCACCGGAAATAGTTTTTATTTATTTTATTTTTTATTTTTTCGTTAAATTACATTCAGCTCTCAAAGCTTGTATGTGTTTCCAGTGAGTGCACGCGGGAGGTTGTTAAGCACGGAGAAAGCGTAAGAGTCGCACGAGGCATACCCGAGTGCGACTCTAGCTTCTGAGTGCTAATTAAGTAACCGACCAGTTCCTTTAATAGATCCGCTTCTGTTTGATTGGTTATCCTTGTTTTATTCCTTGTCTTATGATAGGAATGCTCTATGCTCATTACTAACTATTTACGCTACATTTATATGCTAATAAATATTTTGTTGCTGTTGAAATGTTTTGCATTTTGCATATGTCTATTGCATGYCACATACAAACGGCTGTTAGCTTGTGCACATTATTGGCTTTTCAATTTGAAGCTACTGACTCATCTTTGCAAATCTCAAGGCTATGCAAAATTCAGAAATTGCGAACGTACATATCAGAACATGCTGTACCATAGTTGTCGCTCTCTTCGTAATCATACAGATCCTCGCCAGCCCAGAACCTGATTTCATCACCTTTTGATGACATCTACTGTAAAGTATTTTCCCAAGCTTCGCAATCCAGGATACCCGGAAGTAGGAAGGATTGGTTCATTATTGGTATCTGTAATAACGATGCAAAGGATCTCTGCTTATTTTTGCAATCAAAAGGAATCTTCACTGTAGCAAAGGCATCGTCTCTTGCTCCGAGACACCATCGCCAACTATTCCGGTCATGCGCCCGCGTACAAATGCAGCGGTGTCACTTGAAAGTGTTAGGCGAGTAAAGTCAGATTTTACAAAGAAATGTATAGAGAGTCAAAATAGTTTTCGATTTATAAATTTCTGTGTAAACAGTTTTCCACTTGCCGGGGTAGAAGAACAATATATAACATTAAAGCATTTGATTTTTACCAAACATACTTTAATTTGTTTGGAAAAACCCTTTCGTCTCGATAGTTAGATTTTAGTCAAATATTATGAACAGGATTTCTCAAAATCAGAACTAGTTACCTCATTTGCCGGGGTCGATCCATAAAATACACAGATTCTAAACTACTGATGTCGAATCTGTGGTCCATTGAACGAATTTATACTTTTCGTTTCTTACTTTCAAAAAGCTCCGATTTGAGACGAGTTTGTGAGATCCTTTCTTCAAGAATAGGCACTTTGTGAAGTAAAAATCTTGGAAATTATTCGCAAAATACGGCATGTTTGGTACCAAAATAAAGCTTGAATCCTCAGCTCTCGTTTGCCATCACTTGTAATAGGATACCTATTAAAGCACAGGAATACCGTAGCAAAAAGTTATGTTTCTCTAAGTCCGGGCCTGAGAGAGCTTGGGCTTCCTGTGGTTTATATTTTATACAAGATATCCGCTGACTTGSCGAACGGCGCATGGCCGAAWTAGTTGGCGATGACGGGATCTTGATTAAGTTTTATACATTCTTTTTTGTCAAGAGAAAAATGAATAAAAGAGAAAAAAACTTGTTAAAACATTAATAAAMAGACATACTTTGGACAAAAAAGTAGTCTATTTACAGAGAGCTTCAACTCCACACGATAGAAGGCAAGTTGGCAGAGAGGTACTCTTACCTTTCTCGCAGTGTTTCCCAGAATATCCACTGCAAACAGGCGCACATGCCTTTAGTTTTAGTTGATGCTGTCAGTTGACTTCTAGTCATCCATCTCATCAAGGCTGACGCAAGGTTTCTATGGCCAAACAAAACAACTATGATAGGGAACTATGACGTAGTGTTTAATAAACGAGCAGGAGTGTTTTATCGGGTTTAAAACCACGAGGCGTAGCCGAGTGGTTTTAGACCCGATAAAACRCGATMTGTGAGTTTATCAAACGGCTTCAAAAACTTTAAGTATAATTCACARCCCTTTGGTTGAAGTAGAGCGACCATATACCTCGAGAACATTGACTTTTATACTTTGATAGTCGTTTGTACAGCAATGTCATGCGCAGTGAGGTTTGTACGTCACTGCCATGCGCAGTAAGTGCAAAAAAGGCTCCCACAAGTTGAAGACAACATGCCGAACTCAAGACAGGGGCACTAGACGACTAAGATTTATRGTTCGTCAAAGATTGTACGTGAGACTGAACTTGATGAGGCTCTAAGTCTTCATCTAAACTTGGATGCACCTTTATTCTGATAAGGTTGTCTATATTAGTATTCTTTATATAAAGAATGCTAATGAAGATGACTTTATCGGGTATAAAGGTCCATGCACATGACGTGTATGGTGGCTCCAATTGGACAAAAGGCTTATGCATTATTAATGCGTTTTTGAAGTGGATATAATATGAATCATCAGTCAATTATCATATAATTATAGGACAGTTACTGTCTTACATGATTGTCGTGTGCGAATCCAAAGTTCAGAAAGACACCTGGTTCGATTTGTTTTTGAACTAGGTAGCTAAAACCAGAGTTTCTTGATCCAATTTCAGAAATCAGGTCACATGAATGACATGTAAAGCTGATACAAACATTACAACGAAAATGCTAATTAGATACGACCACTAGTGGATGTATACTGTTCTGATACAGTACTAGTGKTTGTATCTAATTACCATATGAATTTAAAATGTCGCAGTGGATTTATGAATTAATCACGGAATTTCACAAGTTGTCAGTTTACAACATTAGTCTCCTTGTTGTATCGGCCTCGCCCCCGCCTCGTGATTCTATAGCCGATACGGGACATTTTGAATTAGCATTTTCATTGTA